CTGTTTTGTGATTCAGTATAAGTTTCGTGCAGACTTCGCATTGAATGTGCATCAAGAACATGAAATAATTTTGAACCTCAGTTTTCGTAAACGTGAGCTGATGATTAATTCCACGCGTAATTTGTAGATTTAAAAGTTTATTCTTTAAAATGCAATCTTTAATTTTAAAAATATCTAATACAATCTAAATATAAGTTTATCTGCGTTAACCTGCCCTAGGGCATTTCTAATCAGGTATTAGATGTAAAAAAAAGTTACGAATGATATAAAAAATGCAATTGATTAAATATTAAATTCGAATATATACGTATTCCACCAGCTAGACTTTAAAAGATGGCAGCTTTGCGTGAAGGTTAATGGGGTTTAAAATCAAGACAAAGAGCACGGAAATTCATGCGAAGCATTTCCATGATGTACAAAGTGTTCCATAATGTAGGCCCATGCAGAGAAGTTTCATGCTATGACTCAGGCGTATATTGACTTCAACAAGATCAATTCACCGAATAATGCAGTCATGGATAGCTAGTAAATCTATTAGACGATAGATACAGGAAGCGTTTCACAACATCGTTAGTTTGAATTAAAAATTATTCATCAGGCCGCTGTTATGCTTAAAATTTTATGGTGAAGTTCACGCGACACGCGGCTGCAGGAGAGGCACAAAATAAAGAGTATTGTAGTCAATTGAAGTGAAATTAAATACAAGAACAGTTAATGTTAATGATTTATATAAGCTTATATGCATTTGAGCTACAAAAAACACGCGGCTGCAGGAGAGGCACAAAATAAAGAGTATTGTAGTCCTTTGAAGTTAAATTAAATACAAGAACAGTTAATGTTGATGATTTATATAAGTTTATATGCATTTGAGCTACCGGTAATTTTGAAAAACAATGAAAATTAACCATGAAAATCAAATTATGAAAATCAAACTTAAGATCAAATTTACGTTTTTCCAATTCACATCGTTCATCATTCACAATTCATCTTCACATTCATGAGTCATCACTCAGCAAACATCACTCATCCGTCACCAGTCATCACTCACCAGTCATCACTCATCAGTCATCACTCACCAGTCATCACTCATCAGTCATCACTCATCAGTCATCACTCACCAGTCATCAC